GGCATTCCAGTACATGATTTTTTTTTTATACCTTGGTTCCAGTGGCACACGTAGTTTCTCCTGGCCAGTTTTTCTTTCCCCTTCCTTTTTGGACCACCTTTTCCTCCAGACATCGGCTTCATTCTACCCTCCCACACAGGTCGATGCACAGTCACCAAGATGTCCCATGTCAACTCCTCTCTACCTGTGTTTTTTCCAGCATTTATCATCACGTCATTGACCAGCTCAGGAGTGACCCCGCGACACAGCTCGGCCCCACCGCATTCCAGCTCATCACTCCAGAACTCCTGTTGGTCGACACCCGGTTTTCCCCTTACCTGTTTCTTGTTTATCACTCTACTATTAATAAACCACTACTTGCACTGAAGTCGGCTACTTGGGTCCGCCTCTCTGTGGCTCACTCACTTACCTTGTACGAGCGCATATCCTAACAATGAGCCCTACTAAAGGCTAAGGGCACCCTGGCAAACCAATGTCTTATGTTACCAAATTAAATCGGTAAACTATCAAAAGTGACAGCGATTTTTCTCACCAGATTTGTGACTAAACCCCAGAATTTAGATCTAAAATCTACTTAATTTTAAACTATTGTAACTCGCATCCAACATTGCTAACAATGGACCAGTAATCCCTCCAGCCATCCACTGATTCCATCTTTATTACAAATGTACCATTTCATTGCATTTTTCATTCTGATAATTTTCCTTTTTGTACCTATTATGAATAAAATTATTTATCTTAGAACTGCCCATTTTTCATATCTTCTTTGGTTTCTTATTTCCAGTAAATAGCTCAATGAACTACATAATCCCTTCAGATCAAGACTGAATTAATTATTCTGATTAATAAATTCATCATTACAGTGTAGTCCACTATAAAAGACTTGGTGCCCTAATCTAACAAGGTATTAAATATTAATAACCTTGTTCATAAAGTGTAGTCATTTCCACTAAATATATATTAAAAGAAGTGTTATTAGGTGCAATTTTTGACCAATTTTTATTCTTTAATTTTAAACATATCTGTGGCATTTTATTCACCCAATGTTGTTTAGATTTCACTACATCCATCTTTCCAAACAGCCCAGATTACTCTCTGCTGTTTTGGAAATCATTAATATAAAATGTACATTATTCATGAGCACCTACTCTGGTTGGAGGTGATGACTCATCTTTGCCTCGAGCCAATCAGAACAGGACCTAATGAATGTTGTGGTCACTGTTGCTCTTTACCTTGTGTAATGACTGCGGATGGAAACACAGGACAGTGTATAGAGATATATGAACCAGAGTCTGATCCTGAATGGGAAGGATAGCAACCTGCTGCTACATACTGGAGACTTCAGATGGATCTTTTTTGTCAAACGTAGCTGGCGACAGCTAGCTTTCCCTTAGCACAGCCATTTTCATAAAGCATCTTCAGCATAGCACTGTGCAGGGTCTGGGCTTATTTTTGTGTATCTGATTGCATGTCTGAGTGAGCCATCACATTTGGCACAGTTTCAAAACCGCTCACTCTCCAGGTGGGAGATTTAAAACTTTAAAAAAAAGTTAAAAACACAATGGAAACAGAGTTGAATAAATTGGCAGCAGTGGAGGACCTTTGTCATCACCCCGATCCATCTCAAACCTTACTTTTTTGTTTGTTTTGTTTTGTTCTCATTCACACCAGCGCTTTAAGGTTAGGAAAAGATGGTGATTAATAGCTGATAGCTAATAACTAACTGTTAATAGGTGAATCAGTGCACACCAGTGGTAGGTGACACTTTTCACACCCAATCATTCAGTCTAGCCTGCTTCCTAAAGGAGATTTACAGCATAATAACAACAACAACACTATTTCTGCCTTTGCCGCTAAGAAATTATAGTTAATATTTTCAAGATTATAAAACCAAACTTGTTTTAAAATGTAAATTCAGTTGTAGCATTACAGGGAGCTAAGACCAGGCAATTCCTTACTGGATGTAAGTCACCCAGAGCGGTGGGGCAGAGCAGCAGGACATGGCCATCAAAGTAAATGGATGCCTGGCCATAAATAAACTGCCTATCCATCTCCTCTCGGTGCCTAATTGCTGCAGCTGGCTCAGTAATGGAAGAAGCAACCACTTGTCCCAGTG